ACGTCCTTTTGATGGTCAACTGAAGTTTTTATAAAGACTTTTCTGGAAAATAAGGTATAATGAATTAGAAGAAGCAACTAGCTGAAGTCAATCTAACTACCAACCCCTCCCTAACTATCACAATATTCACAATTAGATCTCAAGTTAAAGATGGAACAGTACCATGAAGCGAGCCATCTCCAAGAACGGCCAAATGTTGATAGGAGGAGCGTGTAAAAAAGGTGAGTTTTTATTAATCAATATGATGCCTTGCAAATGACAACAAGCCTGAGATAATTTTACCATTTTTTCAATCGTCGAATTGCGAATTAAATATTGCAATCTAATTTCGAGGAAACACTGTGATTGTTTTGGAAGAACAATGTTTCCTAGTAACCCTGAGTTTTAATATATCTACCTTAATTAAAACAGCGTTTCTAAAAAAGACAGCCACAACCTGTTACTACTATTCCGGGCTTACTGCAGTCTCCATTACATTACTTAACATTATTTCAAGCTAGTATCTTATTGTGCGAAGTTTCTTTCCGCCGTATTTTCTACGTTATTCCACTATATTTGGGATCGTTAGGTTTGCCCTGGCTTGCGAGTGACGGACCAATCATTAGAATCATCTATGACCAAAAATTTATTCTTCTTTCTCTTTTTTGTTTTTCATACCTTCGTTTCAACATCAGAAATAATTTAAAATCTCTCTTTTATGATCGCTATATCTTTTAGGGCATACTATTTTAAGATTAATTAAACTGCTGTTGGTTTTCAACTTAGCTAATCTGGCATATATGGGGAATATGGTGTAGTTTCATTAAGACCAACTTTTTAACCTTATTAGCAAGCCAAAAATATTTTCATGTAGGCAGACCCACTGTAACATTTTCAAGAAAAAAATAGGGGAATTCTATGAATTCAAAAGCTGTTAAAAATACCTGAAAGGTTTTACTGCCACATGAATTTTGGGGAAAATGTTCAGTACATACAACATTCTTTCTTGATAAATTTTGTGCTCAGTTCTTCTCTTAAAAATTCACAACCATAAAGAATAACGGCTGCGATTATGAATAGGGCATCATTTTCAGCGCTTGAACGTGTCGTTCGAGCAGCCAATATAGAGTGTTTTAACTCAAGGCAACTGGCGGCTGTGTTTGTTTACTGGCACGAGATTGACTTGGTACTGATTCCGATATGGTCTCTAAATCGTGGTTTTCGTTACAAAAAAAATAATTTGTCTAACCTGAAAGCACTCGAAAACGCTTTATAGCCCTGCTGTTACCGACCAAAATTGTTCACGTTTAAGATAAAAGCATGACACTTCGCCAAATTACAACTAACCCTAAGACTAACATTGTGACCGTTATAACAGTTATATGACAGCAGACGTCTGATGTCATATAACTGTTATCAGACGTTATGTAACATAAAATATAAAGTCAGACATCAGACCTGTGATAACAGTTATATGACAGCAGACATCTGCTGTCATATAACTGACGCGTCTGATGTCACATAACTGTTATCAGACACGTTATGTAACATGACATATAATAATGTTATATACAGTAACAGTAATGATATAACAGTATATATACTGTTATATAACAGTATATATAACTGTTATAACTGTTATATGACAGTTATGTAACTGTTATATAACAGTATTAAAACTGTTATATAACTGTTATATAACAATTATATAAAAGTTATATAACTGTTATATAACTGTTATGTAACAGTTATATATACAAAATCAGACGTCTGATAACAGTTATATAACTGTTATATACCAACAGTATATAACAGTTATTACTGTTATATAACAGTTATATATAGAAAATCAGACGTCTGATAACAGTTATATGACAGCTGATGTCTGCTGTCATATAACTTTTATCAAACGTCTGATGTCTGATTTTATATTTTATGTTACATAACATCTGATAACAGTTATATGACATCAGACATCGGCTGTCATATAACTGTTATAACAGTCATATAACTGTTATCACACGTCTGATGTCTGATTTTATATGTTATGTTACATAACGTCTGATAACAGTTATGTGACATCAGACGTGAGTGGATATGGGTCCAAAAATAATTTACTATGCCACTGGACACGAGTATTGCGCAAGCCCTAAAAACAGCCACAGTTTTCTTTATTCAAAGCAAACATGTGAACGACCAAATGTAGCAGGCCGTTTAGTCCAGTAGCCGAGGTAGGAAAATTGTTCTTTAGAATTCGTTCAACCCACGGGTCAGAAAACCGGATTTTGGTAGAACATGACCTACTGATTATTGCCTAATAATTTGTAAGGTCGATTTGTGGTATAGGTTTCTAGTAAATCGCGTTTTTATGCCACATACCTTACGGTCCAGCATGAAAACGAGCCTGATACCTGAATCACCATTTACCTGCTAATTCTTTGTTAAAAATCGCTAAAAAAAAGGTAACTTACTCAATGTTCAATGTAAAAAAGGAGATGATTATATATTTTCGAGTCATCAATGTCACGTGACTGATCGCGTTACTCGTACAAGGACAAATTATTTGCTTGAAATAAAGGAAAATCGCGCTTTGATTGCTTTTCTTTTTTCTTTCAAAGAACCAGTTTAAATATCTGTACTTTGTTTAGCATTAGCTGTTTTCCTTTATTAATTTTTTGCAAGTAAAGGTTAGATCAAAAAAACATTTTTGACACTTTTATAGCACTTTACATATAGAAAGTCGCTCTATGAACGTGACAGACGGAGAGTTCTTTTTTATTAGGAATTAGAGATCGTTGCGAAAAAAGCTACATGCTATTACGTGAAAATGTCTATTTTCGTACTCAAAGGAGAAAAATACAGCATTTATGGATTGCTTCAGGAACGTAGACTGTTCCAAAGCATGAAAAGGAGACACGGGTTGACTCCTGAGAAGAGGGTCTTTCTGAAAATATTGCTGATAAGTTTGAGGTCGTATAGAAGGAGGGAAGTGTATCAGAGAGAGTTAACCAACTAAAAGAAAGAGCTTGACGATACTGGCATCTCTGTTTGATGTCACCAAATCGCACGCAAGAGCCCCGTCAAAGATGTTTGCAATTTGTTGGCAGTATCGTTTCATGCATGGTTAGTACAATTTTACGATTCATCAAAGCAGAACGAACATGCAAATTGGCACTTGCTTCTAATATATCTGCCATTGCAACTATGACGCCGCATTTTTTCTCATTGGACAGACCTGTAACTATGCAAGATGGCTACCAGTTTTCCTTGCTGGTATATGAAGCAACCGGAGTCACAACACTCAAAAGTGTATCAGGAATTTGTTGCCGAAAATCACTTCATTAGCCGCAACGATCAGGCATTTTCTCGTAGAGCAATCTACGTAGCTGACTCGAAGTCAAAGGGTGGGAGTGTTGGCATATCTCAAAGTCCACGATCGCTAGAAAGATTGTTTCTAAGTATTCACCAAAGAGCCTCATAGCTGTGAAAAAGATGTGTGGTTCTGACAGAAAGTGACCACGTAACAACACAAGAAGGCCACATCGAAGAGACTGAAGCGTGATTAAGAAGACGTCAGGAAGCTTGTTGACTATTTTTCCCTTGTCTGGTTTATTGAATAACCCTTTCGTCCAAGAAATGGAGTCTCTAGTTAACTTTGCTACCGGCGTAGAACTGACTTCAAATGTTACAGAGGGCCTTGTTAGCAGTAATGAAAAAGGTCGAGAACAGACGAAAATCTTTGAACACTAATACTGTAAATCTTTGGGATCCTGTTCCAAGCTTGAAGGTAAATACATTTAGTACCATGCTGACAAAGATCTCTTTGAGCAGCTACATATTAACACCCAACAAATCAATTTGAAGGAAGGTTTCTGCTATGAGTTGTCCCTAATTCCATGCGCACTCGCACACCAAGATGGCAGCTTGTGAAAAACCTTAATATAAGAGTATTCTATATTAACCACAACAGAGAAAGAGGTCAACGTCGTTGAACATTAAGTTAGTTACCATTTTTAGCGATTTTTTAAGAAAGAATTGGGAGGTAGATGGCGATTCAGGTTCCAGCCTCGTTTTCATGCTGGACCGTAAGGTGCGTGAAATAAAATCGCCATTTACTCGAAACCTATACCACAAATTGACCTTACAAATTATTGGGCAATAATCAGGAGGACTTGATCTACCAAAATCCGGCATCAGACCTTTTCTGACCCGTGGGTTGAACGAAACGACAATTTTCCGACCTCGGCTACTGGATTAAACTGCTTCGGTGTTCGATTTTTTGGTTAAACCAATGCATTTTTCTATCAGACAGAGGAAGAAGAAGAAGAAGATACTTTTATTTAGCTAGGGTAACTCCTACAGTTACAAAAACTGATACCCTTAGAGGCCCTAGATCAAAAAGAAATATAAAAATATGTTAAGAATACTTAAAACTAGTCCTAACTAAGCTAATAGAAAAATATCCTAAAAAAGGATAAAAACTATTACAAACTATTAATAAAAACTACAAATTACGATTAAAAACTTCCCATCCATGATAACAAAAATCTCATTCTCTAGTGAACGTCGCATGCTGACGTGTTACTAAGACGCCTATGAATGCCGATGGCAATGAAAATGGATTAAAGCTGTTTTATAATCACCGATTCCTTTGACATTACTGTATTTACTCGAATAAGCACCACGGTGCTTATTAAAATTTGCATGTCTCAAATGCGGTGCTTATTCGAGGCTGCTCTTTTTTAAAATTGGGGGCGACAAAGAACTGTTTCTTTTCAGTAACCGATATTATTTTATTTTATAACAGAAACGTCTTTTGGTTTTGATTGCATCGGGGCCGCGCCGCGTATTTGGGGGTGGCGCTTATTAACTATTTTTGTCCCAAATCCGGCGCTTATTTGAGGGCGGCACTAAATCGGGGGCGGCGCTTATTCGAATAAATGCGGTATTTTACCATGAAATTTTGTTTGTTACTTGGAAAATAAAACGTAAACAAGACGTCCTAGGGTACCGTAAAAGTTCTAAAAGTCGGTCGGTCTGATTTTCATCTCAGCTCTCTTGAGAGAGTACTGAATTCCTTTCCATGTATTCCAGATGATACCTTGACCTTTATGTGGATGTGAACCGTTGTAATACAAACCATTCAGGTTTGAATCATGGCAATTAGTGTACCACCAGACTCCTTGGAAATGCGAAGCGCAGTTGGCTTTGGCAGTATCATGATCTCGGTCTCTGGTGGAAAACGGATAACCACGATGCACCAATAATGAGTCACCAGCACTTCCTAGAAGTCATACAAGGACATTTTAGCAGGAATGTTTGGGGTAGAATACCTGAATATAATCTAGTATTGAAGTACAAGAGAGGGGCTACGTTTGGAAAAGTAACTGAGCTCCTTTTGAAACTTACTTACAAACAAGCTTTGAACGAATAATTAAGACACGAAGACAAAATACTATACATCAAAATTAAATACATTCCAAGCACGATACCTGAGAACGTTCCTAGACTGAGCTTGTATTTAGTCGTTTCGTTTGTAACTGCAAACATGTCATATTCAGCGTAAGCATTGCTGGATGTAAAGTCCTCCAGATCAACTCGAAGGCAGTTGTGTTTCTTTTCCTTTCAGGCGGTAAATCTTGTCCAATCCAAGCCAGAACTCATCATTCAGGTTACCAAACCCAATTTTGTAGTCATCCCAGTAACGGTCGAAAGGAAACCGAGCCGTCCAGTCTCTTCTGGAACACTGTCCACCCCCCTCCGGTTGTTTCTTGATCACAGAACACATTAAAGGCACCTTTACCATCAGGGTCGATTGTGTACACACCGCTGATTGTTTGGCCAGCTTTGTATAGCTCAGCACAGTTCCTATTAGCTGTTTAGGAAAGATGACCTTAAGGTGATTCCCTAGTAAAAGAACCTAACATAGATTGTAGATGAAACTTGGTACACTGATGTAACAAGTCAAGAAGATGATAAAAAAGTAATAAAAAGTGGGGGTCACCGTACTCGTTTTGACGTCACAATGCTGACAAATACGGCTATTTTGGACCCTTTGACAAAAACCGCGAGCAGCCCAAAACTAAACAAAAAGGAGAGTTTTTTCAATGATGCATGTGGTATCGCACAGAATTTGACTTGAATGCATTGTTTATCCACTTACGTACCAGAAAAATGCCTTTTAGTGCCCTTGTTTTTACTTTACGCTCTAAAGTAGAATTAAATTGGACACGCGCTATTTGACCCGTGATAGCTCAATCCATACAATTTAGTAAAATTGCCATTAAAGTGAACATAGATTTGTGCCAATTTTTTTCTCATCGAAAGGAAGCACTGTCCTTATTAAAATAAAAGATGGGGGTCACCGTACTCGTTTTTGCGGTAGAGCTGCAGAAAGTGCACACCAAATACATTTTCTCCGATTTTTGAGACAGGACTGGGGCGAGTTCCAAAATAGAATGTATGTGAAAGGGGGACGAAAGTATTAAAAAATCCTTTTTTACATAATTTACATCGAGATATCACATTTAGGACACAATGTGATAAAGAAAGCGTTTAAATGAAAATCAAAATGAGTAAGCACAATTTAAACATCCACTATCGAGGTTCTCCGTGAGGATGTCGAACTCAGCAAAACGCGTACTGCTTACGTTATGCACATTCCCAACACATTGAGTCTCACTTCGGAAGGAAACAACCGCTAGCAAAAATTGCAATAATGTTTCTCTTCAGTCAACTTCATTTTAATAATGTTACTTCACATGTTTTTTTTTACGGCGGCCATCTTGTTATGCCCAGTAAGAGATGCGCAGTGCAAAACCAGGGAATCACCTTAAAATTATTTAAAATAGAATGGAGACGTGTGACGTCAGGTTACTATGGTAGCAAAATTACCAGATCACAACAATAGGGAGCTTGAGCAACGACGACGGTGACAGCGACGGCAACGAGAAGAGCAAAAAAAGCAATAGGTTTATACTAGTAATAATTGCCAATTTGGGGAGTGCGTTCGATGGGGAGGGGTGGGTGAGTAGTGAGTGGTAGTCATAAGGGGGTGCAAAATGTAAATGAGCTTGTGAGATTGAGAAATCAAAGTAACATGTGTATTTCGGATCTCCTCAGAATATTAGTTTGTGACATGTATGACAATATAAGTAAGGGAAAATTTAACTCTTTCATAGAAGTCACAGGGAGGTGACATACTCACAGAAGTTAGACATGTTCCATTGGCAGAATATTGTTTCAAGAAATTAAACGACAAGCAGATATACGGTTTCCTACAAGATCTATCCATTCTGCACTTTACATTTACGATGAATTCATGTAAAATGGGTGGAGAGGATGGCCGGTTGTGATGGGAGTTTGGTCATTTATTTCGTGTACCCGACACAGATGACGTAAAACAAAAGAACAAAAACCATGAAACAATACCAAGCAGATTTTTCCCTGAACAGACAACAAACAAGTCTTTTGTCTTACGTCATTTGTGTCCACTACACGAGGTTTTGACTGGAGTTTAGAAGCCATTGTCTGCACAAATTGTCAATTCGTTTGGTCAGGAAAGTGTACATTTGACTGTCATGATCAGTCTGGGAATTCCCAAAACTATTCCTCTGGCAACCATGTCTCAACAAGCTCATGCATGTTGAGAATTGAGAAACTTTTTATTTATTTTTATTTTATTGATCACCTTCAACATGACTTGTACGTGGACATTTCATAATTCACTTTTGCGTTCAATAGTCATGATCACTTTCATAATTTTCATGAACTGCACCCTTAAGACATTGCTACATGTAATTTCTATTTCAGTGATTATGTTTGCACTTTACTGTTACTTACAAACAATTAGTTGTCAAGTGTGATTATGAACTAAAACAAGTGCAAACACTCTCATTGCTGTAGTTCACTTAACAATATAATATATTTTTTTCCTCCAATTTCTAGTATTTACTTGTTGTTTTCACCGCAGCATAATCTCCTACCATTTGGCATTCACTCACTACTACTGTCACACTTCACAAATAGTGAATTATAATTACACTTATTATTAGAGATGGCATCTAACCCAAATATTGAGCAAACGCAACTGCATATTAGCTTGCAGTTATTCACTATCACACCCATTTCCTTTTGACTATAATTACAAATGTAGAAGGGTCAAATGGGGTGAAGACGGGACTAATGCAACATTGGCTACCTTTCCTCGACAACAGCAATCCCATTTAAATCCCAGAAGATCCTTTTAGCCAAAGAACGGGGTCCAAATTTACTCCAACCAAAAGGAAATTAAGTACATCTCACCTTCCAATATTAGTCATATTAGAGCCAGTGTTGGATCCCGCCCTCCTCAGCTACACATTTCACCAATTCTCTCCCGCCCTCCCATCCCTGTCATTTTATGAGCCTGAGCCTCTCGAAGTTCTGCGATACACGTATTTCTAGTTATAGACGTAGTTTATCGATCTGGCTGCTCAATTAAGTCGTGATGTTGTTGTTCATCTGTCAGTTAAGCCGTGATGTTTATGGCTATGATGATATTGTTGAACACTAGTTACGGACGAACAACCAAATCGACACTGACTCTACGACCTGCCTTACGTATTTCTCAGACTGCTATCAACGATTCACTTTAGAAAGCTGATTTACCAACTGGGAACAAACGCGGCTGAATCGTAGTCAGAAGTTACCGGCACCTTCAAAACGACTTATCAACGGACTCAAGCAAGACTGGCTTCAGTAGAGTGAATGGACAACTGACAATTTGACTAACAATAAAACGACCGTTGTAACTGTGACAAAAGAGGGATCGAAATTAGAGTCCTCAAAGCCAATAACCGACAGACGACCAATAACACCACAACTAATCCACCATTCAGGACAGTCAGAATTAAGTCAAATTCAATTTCTTGAGCTTCGCGCACGCTTATGTTTAGAGGCAGGAGGGGCCATTTTTGCATCAACGAGTGTAAGTAGTTTAATTCTACAATTGTATCCAAAAATCCTTAGGACGACAAGGTTAAGCCATGAATTACTCTTCGCGGAGAGAGAATGGAAGGCCCTCGCGTAGCCGAGGTTCTTAACTCGCGCGTGGAACGTGCGAGCTTCGCACCGCGATGCAGAAACAAGAGTAGGCTCAATAAATGTCTCCAACCCCGTCAAGCAAGTTTAACTTAAGCGGCACACTGAGTTTCGCGAGGGTTTGGGAGACACGTATTTCTAGTGTTTATATTTTACAACTGAAGTTTGAACAAGCAATGCTACACCCTTTCCGACATGCGTTGGTGTAGAATGGCCCACATTGTAGGTAGGGGGGACGGGCTGAGCAAGTCTAGGTTTATTCGCGAGCGACTGGTTGTTTGGTGTGTGTGTGTGTGGGGGGTGCGTTTGTGTGTGTAAAAAAAGTGTTACAAGAACAAACTTGTCCCAAGATTTTTTTCCATGATTGTAGGGTAATCTTACGCTAGAATTGGTAGAATTCTCATGATACAACCCCTTTCTAATGAAACGTAACAGGACCACCTCGGGTTCTCCTATCAAGCAATTAAGACACTCATTCCTTCACAGAACTTCATAGAACTTGCAATCTATATCAATGACTATTACTACATAAAATTAATTTTCTCTTCAAGATAAATATGCTTTCGGAAAAGGAGTGATCAGTTTGGTTACAACTTCTACTCTTTACTTTCTGCAAGTTGGCTTCACCCTCCCTTTATCAAACACTCTACCTTCTCCTCCAGTTTGATTTACTTTCGAAGCTTTTATTTCATGTCTTAACTCGGTCAGCTGTTGTTTTACCTCAGCCATACCTGCGTAACAGATAAATAATGAGTTTACATTAAAGCATCTAATACCAATTTGACCAGAGACATGTATGGTAGAAGAAGAAGCACTTTTTGGATTTGCTACTGGGGAAACACCCCGCTGTAATTAAGGAAGAACTGGTTCACGCTTATCCTGAGCGTCAAACGAGTTATAGAGGCACGCGGGAAGTTTAAACCGGCAAGAGAGAAGCGCGTAAAAAAGGGGCTGTGTCATTGATGGCTGTCCATATCATTTTGTTAATTATATTGCCAATTACGTACATAGCCTGCGAGCAAGCTCTCAATTACTAATAACGCTTCCTCATCCGCTATGAATTCCTATTTCGGATTCCAAAGCAAAAATTTCCCGGGTTCCAGAATGCGGATTACCTTACATTGGGCGATACATTCTAAGTACCTAAAATATGCTGTTTGGCGTTTAAGTCGTTCTTATCATAGACTTAACTGTTTTCATGCTAATGTTAGTAGATCAGAAGTGCACGATAGTCTTTTACAGCTGTATCAGTAATGATTAGATTATTTTCAGCGAAAAAGCCTCAATTAATGCCTTAAGAGGGAGTACAGTTAACTGCGGTTCCTCGAAGACTCCTCTCGATATCTTTCAAAGTAAAGATAAGAGAATTCAAAGCGAATAAATCAATATCAATTCAGTTTTAGGACGCCATTTCAAGACTACGTACCAAGAATTGTCGGAATCGAAGTATCGTGGTATAGGGGTAAAACTCGAATCTAATTTTCGAACTTTGAGCCTGCCAGAGTTACAGAAAATCACTTCAAATTAGTATCTAAAAATTACCTTTAGTTTCACTTGCTCCTGTAGGCATCATCCTTATAGTTAAAATCAATGTAGCAACCACTGTCAAGAAGGATAAGGCCAGAAAAGCTATCACAGCGGATAACATATGACGACTTATAGCAATATTTTCGGTAGATTGTTGTCGTCTTCTTTCATCGTTTTCATGGTAAATTTGGTTTCCTGCTGGGTCTTCGGACGGTGAAGACTGGATAGTGAATAATTGTAGGTGATCATAAGGATGTTCATTCTTTGGTTCAGCTCTGGAAGCCTGCATCCTTTTGGTTGTGACGAAAACTCTGAGTAAGAGTCTTCTTCAAGGTCACAGTTTGTAGTGAATGACACTTGTAATCAGACTTAGTGCCTAACTATTCTCATTAATATGATGTCACGGGAAAAAAAAATTTCCGGTTTTCTTCAGTGGTTTCTTTTGGCCATAAAAAAAGGACATCCTGTTTTTAGCTCATGGATGACGTAGTCATGCCATGAGCTTTTGGAGGCACTCGAATGGCACTGATCACTCACTCACTCACTCAGCTCAGCGCATAGAATCAGTATGACTAAACTGCGACTGGGAGTTCATACTTCTGAAAATGATGCAACCTTCATCAATTTAACAGACCATGATAGAACATTATATTTACTCAGATTAGACAATGACAATACTTCACAAATTATAGTCAAATATGCCCATCTAATGCTTTTTGTTTTCGTTTTTTAAAAAAAAAGAAAACTGTTCCTGAGTCAAAAATCCAATTATAGGATGACAGGCTTAGGTCGGTTCAGGAATTTGGGTCCCCGCTGCTTAGGTAAAAATCTTTTCCCTAAATCACAGTAGGAGCTGAAAGAGGAACCACACTAAAAAGAAGACAAGCCTTACGAAGGTGCTGTAAGGCGAATTAATCCTGAACGCCTGATATGTAATACAGTAAAACAATGGGACAGGGCTACTCTTTCTTTGCTGTTATATTTTTCGTGGCTAGCGGTTTCGTGTCGGCTTGGTTAAAAAATATACATCAACGGAATTTTCAGTTTTAAGACGCCTTTATCTTAGTTGCCATTGTATTGGTAAAGGATTACATAAATAAATTTGTTACAGAAAAGTAAATACTTCAAACGTTTATTCGTTAGACAGGGGAAAATAAATGCGCCAGTGTATTTGTCAGACACAGGCAAATTAATGCCCCAGTGTATTTTGTAGCCTGCGAAAACATCCGTTTCTGCTCGCTCTTCGCCGCTCAACACAGTAGACGTTTCGCGAGGGGGAACGTCCACAGCGGCGAAGAGCGAGGATAAACGGATGTTTTCGCAGGCTAAGTATTTTGTTAGACACAGGGTAAATAATGCCCCAGTGTATTTGTTAAGCACAGGCAAATTAATGCCCCAGTGTATTTGTGACTGATGGTGACTGTGACGATGGGATTTCGCTCAGCGAAAAGCGAATAATAAGCGCTGGCTGCCTAAAAACGGTCCTCGAATTGTTAAAGCGACGTTGAAGAGTAACTATTCTGACTATTGTGGTTTATTACTATCTGGACAATTTTACTTGAATTCTGTAAAAAGGTGATCTTTGCCCAGTAGGCTGTTTGTCCGTGATTCCATTTATCTACAGGAAATGCTGCGCTGGAATAAACAAGTTTCTATTGTAGAATACTCAACTACAGAGGGGCAATCGGATGCTTCGACTGCGTTAAATTACTTAGCCAGGTCAGAGCACGTACAGCCTCGAGCCCCGGGGGGGAGGGGGATTCCCATATGAAACAGACGGGGGATGCTCGTCGGAAATTTTGAATTTTAACCCCTGAAGGAGACCATCTGGGCGTGGCTCAGGTTTTTTGTGACCCCTAAAGGAGACCAATCTGGGCGTGGCTTAAGCAAAGTTTGACCCCTAAACGAGACCGCTTAAAAACAGACAAATACGACATGCAATGAGATTAAATGATATAAAGACATAATCATCGAATCCTTTTATCTAAAAGTAGTTTTTAAAAGCATCGTCATAAATCTCAAGTTCCTCGCGAAACCCTAAACGAGACCTTGGCGGCTTAAAGTATTGGCGCTTTGCCCGGAACACCCTAAGCGAGACCAAAATCCAAAATTTACACCCCTAAGCGAGACGACGAGCATCCCAGTCTGTTTCATATGGGAGAGCCCCCACCGGGCCTTGAGCTCAGTCCGTTTATTACAATAAATTTTAGTTCATGTTTAGCAAAAGCGCGTTCTAAAGCAGTTTAATGTAGCCATAAACGCCTGTATTCTGTATTTAATAGCTGGTGGTACATTATACTAACCGTTACGTACTCTTTGCGAACAGCATATGGAAACATTTATTTAAAAGCACTTATAGGAAACCCTAGAGGTCCATTTTAAAACAACTGTTTAAAAACACGATTGCTAAAAACTGTATGCCAAAAAAAACCTGCTGAAAATCAAATCATGAAGAAATGTAAACATGATCTATCAAGTATATCAACACACAGAAAGTCATGAAAGACATTAAAAAAAAACAAAAAAAAAGAAAAGTGAGTCTGTTACAGTGCCCAAGCAGTTTAAAACACCTGAATCTCAAAATGGGATGTTTTTTCTACACTAATTCAATTCATCCATGACCTCGCCCCTAGGAGCAGTTGATTACTTTCGTTTTTAGTCTTCCTACCTCGTTGGAAAACGGAATTGGAATTGGCATTTCAGTTATTATTTTTATTATTATTATTTTTGTGTTTGTTTTTGTGAGAGGCTTTTCTCTTTTTAATATGCCTGGACGCCGCTACCAAATC